ATGATTATTATCAGGCTAGAGGTTTGTGAGGATGGTAGTAATTTAACAGTTGAATTCACGAGCCTAATAAAGCTAGACAACCATGGAAAACCTGAAACTATTCGAATTTTATCTTAATTATTTTTCACATTGCAGCCAACCAACACTCTGCGTGTTAATTTAACAGCTGCCAACGGTTCAGTAAAAATGATTGTGTGTGGTTTTGTCAGCGGTGCTGCCCGGACGCAAACAGCTTGCTTACCGAGACCATTTCAGTGGTAAATGCTGCTAAAATGTGTATTAGCATGCAAGGCCGAGACACATCGGGAAGTACTCGCTATGTCGACACACAAATTGATGTGAAGCCATCTCAATTCAGCTCGGCAACAGCTAACCCACATCGATCTAAAGAATAAAGACCGACTTCAGAGAGGTCTGTCCTAAGTAAAAATTTCAGAAAATTTCCTCTGTCCCCCGTCCTCTATATGATGGCCGGCAGGAAACGCTTAAAATCCCAATCGCAAGGCTACATCTGTTTCCAGCAGTAAAAACAACTTGATTGCCCAAGTTATCGATAAGTTTCCGGAATCGTACAGTATGTTTGACGCAACTATGCTTGTTACTCCAACGAAAGCTGATGAATGGGTACAGACCCCGTTTTAATTTTGTTTCGCCACCGATGAACCGGGTTTTGCTACCTCCTATGTTGATCGGATCATTTGACATATATTGATTTTGAAGCCATCAAGGCACATTTTCAACGACACTTGATTGTATTGTTTGATTACTGCATTCTATGTATGAGTGTCCACACAAAAATATAAATTGATAAATACAATGGGATGTGACCATATAGACGTTAATTCAACAGTATAGTTTTAAGACAGATTGAAAGCAGCCATCGAGAAAACCTATAATACTGTTTAATTGGTTGTGATTGAAAATTCTAAGCTCATGATTCCAAATAGACCTAGACAATGCACTAATGATTATATCACATCCCATTGTATTTACCAATTTACGTTTTTGTGTGGACACTCATACATAGAATGCAGTAATCAAACAATACAATCAAGGGTCGTTGAAAATGTGCCTTGATGGCTTCAAAATCAATATGTGTCAAATGGTCCGATCAACATGGGAGGTAGCAAAACCAAGTTCATCGGTGGCGAAACATATAATTGAAATGAGGCACAAAATTGACATTATTACAGCCTTTAGGACGTTGCATAGAAATGATTAAGGACGAATTCTCGAGCTTATTGAATCTTTGGCTATTCGTAAATTTAAACTCCTTATGTGTACAAAAACAATTCGTCGTGACCTTGAATTTACCTTGGTTATCCTTAAGTCATGCTATGGCCTAGGATAACGCGACAACTTCTTATTCTTTCTAAACGATGTAAAATTGTTTCGCTCCCCTTTGTTACCTTTTTACTTGAACTTTCATCTAGCTGACTTTATTAATTTTCATATAAAATGCTCTGGCAAGTATATGTGTGACCAGATTTTTCGAAACGTATGGCGCAAATTCATCACATTTTTCAGATCAACTCCGTCTTCTCATTGTTCTTTCGAAATATTAATGAAAATCCAACCCTTCATAAAGTACCCGGGAAATTAAAGACTGTTCTCAGTGACAAGTCAGTCGTCTTATATAGAATAAAGGAGTGTAAAAACTTACAACCTAAAACTCGTTTTAAGCATGAAATTGGGTTGATAAAACATGTGCTAAATCAACTTATGCCTAAGGATATCGCCGGAGTCACAATGCTAGTGGTGCATGGACTAAGTAGCCAAACGAACTTGAAGCGAAATCAAACCAGGCTGCTCAAAAAAGTATAAAAATCGTCTGATGAACGGGAAAAAATATAACAAAATGGACATAAACTAGGAGGGTCAGGAGTTTTCGTCCGTACAGACTTGCCGCTCGCAAACGGAGTGAAAAGTCGAGAATTTAAAATCGAAATAAATGAACGTTAGATGCTGGCCAAAAAGACCTAAAAATTGTAAATTTTCGGCTTGTGAGGCTTCGACAGAGAATGATGTCGAAGCTACTATGCGTGCGGCACGAATCCATTTAAATAGGCTTCGGATCTGTTACACAAGTGCCCGAAGCTTCCTCAATAAGCGGTCGGAATCAGATGTACAGATTGACTCTATCAAGCCAGATATAAACGCAGTCACATAAAATTGGCCGACGCAGCCTACAGATAGTATGGAACATGATTTTGAAGGCTTTACGTTGATAAGAGACGACAGAATCTAGGAGCATAAAGGAGGGACGGTAGCTGTATTCATTAGCAACACTATCACATTTACCATTATTGACAGGGTATCCTATGAGAGTGGAACGTGTGAATTAGCTAGTTGCCGCTTGTACTACAAGGGGCAAGAACTACTTATTGACTTGGGATACCTCAATCCAGACTGTGAGATAGATGAGATGTTGGTAGACAGTTTCAACACTTGATCACAACGTGATCACTGTTTAGTCCTAGGAGACTTTAATGCACTCACAGTGGACTGGAAAAATTTGAGAATTGAATTGTGGGGAAATTCTTTCTAGCAGAAACTAGTTGATGCGTATATCACATATGCACTAGTGCAACGTGTGAGAGAAAGATTAGGTAAGACCCGGAATCTGAATCGTCTTTATTAGATTTTACATTGACCTATTATGAGGATGACGTCAATTACCTCGGTTACATGCTACCCCTAGATAAAAGTGATCATACACTTCTAACATTTGACTTCTAAGTAGTTGTCAAAAATGAGAACGCGTCTGGTCAACCCAAAACTAGCGTCTACTAAGCACATATAGGAGATATTATACACTTAGCATCGTCAGTAGATTAGACAATGGATTCAGAGTCCCCAATTGAAAAAGCTTGGGACATATTTTGAAATTTGTACTTTAAAGTTACTGCATACTATATTCCTTTGGAATACATCAAGGAAACTTTCTATCATGGTTCAGCAGGAGGGCGCTCACCCTTTTCTGTAAGAGGTGAATAATGTGTGAAAGACTTAGATTACTGGGTAGCTGTGAAACAAAATCTCGATATTGAGAAGCTCGAAACACTTGTGCCTCGACCCTTCGTAAGATCAAAATGTTGTATGAAAAAAACGTTAAGAAACCTATGGAATACCCTAAACATTTGTATTTCTTTATAAATCAAAGGACTAAAAGAAGAGGAAACATTCCAGCAATATGGGGAGACAGTAATGCCTCATCATTAATGGAGGACGATTATTATAAACTCCAAGTGTTCTCATGCTACCTTAGCAATGAATGTACCGTAGAAACACCCTTCCTGTCAGTCCATAAAAATTCTCCCACACGCACAAACTGGAAAACATGACCATTAAAGAACTCAATGTTTTTGGTTTGTTAAATAAGCTTGATATAGACCCAACGAACTACAACCTGGGTTTCTAAAGGAACTCGCTGACTTTGTTGCAAACCCCTTAAGTATATGTTTTAATCTATCCGTAACCCAGGGTCGATTACCAAAAGAATGGAAGGACGTAATAGTAAGTCCTGTCTTCAAAACAGGTACGAAACATAAACCTGAGAACTACGACCCGTTAGCCTAGCTAGCGTGGCTGTTATGATTTTGGAAAAGATTATTCGAAAAAAGCTGTATAAGTATCTCGATGAAAATGGGATCCTTTCTGAAAAGCACCATGATTTAAGAATGGGTTATTCCTGTCTCACTAACTTATTAGTGGCTCACAAAACTAGTGCGCTCTTAAAAACCAAAAGTTACCTATACACGTAGTATACATCGACTTCAATAAAGTTTTTTATAAAGTTCCTTACAGTCGGCTGTCATGTAAGTTACGAAATGTCGGGGTTGGCGGCAATCTATTAATCTGGACAAAAGACTCCCTAGCTGAGCATCAACAAAGAGTACGCGTGAACTCCAAGTTGTTCAGCTGGAAAACTGTGCTTAGCGGATCGCCTCAGGGTACAGTTTTCGGGCCAATATTATTCATCTTGTGTGTAAGTGACCTTCCTCATCTTCTATCACCATTGGTCTTGCTATGTGCTGACGATGTCAAGATATGGAGAGCGATAAGAAGTAAAGGTGATGGCTCAGAACATCAAATTAACCTGAAGAAATTATCTGATCTCAAACCTCGCAGTTTCCGATGAATACATACAAATGTATTGTGATGCATACCGATCATCGTGGTGCAAATGCATACATGATGAATTATGATGAGCTACCTGTTGTCCAGACACAATGAATTAGGAGTCATCGTTAGCCAAAACTGCCATGCAATAGCCGCCGAAGGTTTTAGAACCCTAAGGTCAATACATAGAGCCTTTAGTCATGTCGAGGCTAAAGCTTTCGACTTTGTATATAGTATCCGTGCATCCTAAACTTGAGCACTGCATACAAGTTACTAGCTCTTTGTTAAAACGACAGAGAGATTCTGGAAAGGGTTCAAAGAACAGGAACTAAGCTAAGTCCCGGGATACCGAAGCTCCCGTATGATGCTCGACAGGCTAAACTAAATATATTCCCGTTGTCATATAGAAAAGCTAGAGGTGACTTGATCGCAGTCTTAAAATTACCAAATGATAAATTCGCACTTGATATGTCCTCACTTTTTCACCTTCCAAAACAGAGAGTCTACGAGGACACTCTAAAAATGTTCACAACCCCAAAGCAAATTACTTGTCAGCTGAATATAAAATTTCCCATGGAATTCATTACCTTAACACGTGATTGAAGCTCCATCTGTCGACTATTTAAAAGTAAAGTTTGATTAACTGAGAGACCACCACTGCCAGCACTAACACAAGCCACCTAGCCTCCTGTTCATTCCAATCTGAAAATGATTACAGAAAACCTACTGCGCTGAGATAAACTAAGGTTACACAAAACTACAAATAGAACTAGAGCTGTGGAGTTTTTAGACTACTGAAAATTTGATCAAAGGTCTAGAAACATACTGTTACATTAAGAAGCGAGTTCAAAGAAATCAATTATTCTGTCACAAAGATAATGGATGTTACTTATACGACCATGTCGAATGAGTCATACATTAGGTCTGTACTGTTATATATGAGAAATTATTTCTACTAGACATTAAAGCTCGTTTAGTGTGAGATTCTTTCATTTCATGGATACTTTTATCCTATTTGCTTTTGTTTCATCAACTCAATCAGTATATGGATCTCAGAATTACGCGGTATCTTTGAGCTTTTTACGAAGATGTAGGTATCTTATCATGACTCTCCTGTTAAACTAAAATTGTCGGTATAAATTAAATACTTTTCTGTTTATCTAGGTCAGCCGATGCAGGAGCCACTAATGTTGCGAATGGAGGGACTCCTCAACCGCGACCACAGAACAAGCGCCTGCAACAAACACAAGCTCAGGTTGATGAGGTAGTAGATATCATGCGAGTAAACATGGAGAAAGTTCTGGAGCGCGACGCCAAACTTAGCCAGTTGGATGATCGAGCAGGTAGGGTCCGTACCATAGATTCAATATGTTTGCATTTTACGATTCTAAGTCATACCTTGCTACTTAGAAATAAAACTTGGTGTTTGCTACTTGTTTCTGTAAACTTTAAGTATGTAGCTCGACAAGAAAAAATTGATGGCGAGTAGTGAAGTGGTTACCATTTAAGGTGGGAGAGGGTAAGCGCGTGAGCTGTCATAATTGGGCATTTTGTCCAAAGTTTCAGGTCACCAGTTCACATCATTCCGGGGACGTCAGACTTTAAGTTTAGACTTACTTACAACCCTCAGGTCAGCGGTAAAAATTCCACTCAGTTTAGGAAGGTTGTGTTTCCGATATTTGCGCGATAAATACTCTATGTGATGTAGCTTGCATACTATCTTCAGAATCGATTAAAAAAAGCTGGTGGTCGTTTTATAACAATCGAGGTGAAACTCTATTTTATGGACGACCTTTGAACGAATTTTTAAGTGACCTTGAGAACATTAGCCAATCAGAAGAGAGTTAGTATAAAGTAAAAATATATTATACAAAACTGATGAATTACAATGGATATTCTTCTTTTACATGATTTAAAAACTTGTTAAGGTTTGATAAAGGTTCCGAAGTTTTGAAATCATAGTGCATGCGGTATAAGAACTCGTCCATATGGCTCCATAGTAATCGTCCTCTGGAGCCGTGGTAGGGTCTTAAAAAATACTTCAGCCTTGACCACATGCCTTCAATATTGTTTGTATGGACTCCCGTCGTTGGATCAACAAAATGACGTTTGTGCACCACAACATGATGCACAAAACCAAGTCTCGAGAGGCATCTATACGCTTTCCAATCATCGGTATAGATCGTCGTGCCAGGTTGAACGTACTCCTTGATGATAATGTTACTGGAGAATTTATGATCCAATTTGCAACGATTATCATGATTTGTCTTAACCTTAGCCGTGACCGGGTAAAAAAGTGCCAGTTCGAGCAGGTTTTTTTCTCCAACATATAGTACAACGAAATACAATGTCATCACGGTAATCAGCACATCCTGTTGCGGTCACTTGATTGCCGCAGTCACAAACACAGGAACTTCTTAATAGTCCCATCTGCTGTAGTCTCTCAACAATCACCTCTTCTCTAAAATCTGCTGTAAAACGATCGAATGTGAGCATCTCGCCTTGAACTTAGCGCCGTGACCTTGAAGCTCCTTAAACGCCTCTGATTGGCTCGTCCATAAATTAGAGTCCTACCACAATCGACGTAGGGAGTTATCTCTGATCAAAATGTTTTTGGCTTTCCGTGACTCCTATAAGAGCTTCACAAGAAGTGTAAACTGTTGACACATTAACCCTACTTCACTTACTGTCGTTTGAATAAACACTGGCAGACCGATCTTGAATCAGGATTTTTTTTATTAGGGAGAGACGAATATCTTAAATATGTTCTGTGTTCAGAAGAATGTTTCTCCCAGATATAGTAATCGATGGTCATGTTTGATCATCTTTGTGTCTGAAAAGTAGCAGCATTATGTTCGTGGTGTCGAAGTCAACGTCTTTTCGGTAATGACTAAAAGTGAAATTCAACTAAATGATAATCGCGTCTATAAATATGCTTTCAACTCCCATGATACCAGTATCAAAATGTAATCCATCTCAACATCTGAGAAATTATGTGTAAAGACAGGTCAATCGATGCAGTTTAGAAATGCGGAGTTACAAAAAAAGGAGACAACTCACTCAATATTTCTTATTAACGAATGGGGTTCATTGTGATTTTCATTCTCACAGATGCTTTGCAGGCAGGCGCTTCACAGTTCGAGGCCAGTGCAGGTAAATTGAAGAACAAATATTGGTGGAAAAATATGAAGGTATGTATGTTCAGCTATTTGAAAACCCTTAGTGGTTTTAATTTCTTGTATGGTTTCTGTTGATAGTGAATAGCAATATTGATGAACTCCCATACTTTATGTTAATAATTTTCCGTTCTATTTCCGCGAGTGATATAATAGCATAACAACTTTATCGTCGGTGATAAATTAAAAGACGGTCGAAGTTGCGAAATCGGTGTATTGTTATTGTACCTAATTAATTTATGTAGCCGGCCCTCTTGAGGTTTAGCCATCTTCACTTGCACTATTATTTAATGAACAAGCCAAGGGTTGAGCCATTTTTGGCAGATTGAAGATATTTCTGGCATCGGAATATGAAACCAAGTTGGTCTGCAACACATACCTGAATTGAAATAACCTATTGTCCTTAGGAGTTAGTCTTACTAGTGTTATTAATAATCCTAGTAACGCAGCTGCTGGAAAAATAATTCAGTGGTACGAAAATCTTAGTATGAGAGCTCACCTTCGAATTTATGATTGCATAATATACTGAAGCTGATACAATAAACTCTTCGTTCAGAATAAGTTTAACCTGCATAAGTTTGCTAAAATTCTTATGTTGTTACGCCTTCGTTTTCCTAAATAAGCGTTATATTCTTAAATTATCATTGTGTCACGGTAGGTCTCGACCAGTCATGTAGTCGTTTACAGAAATATCGTACTTCACAATGTTATAGTCGGCACTATTTTTTTGGATCACTTTTATTGGTATTGGTTTCTAAAATGATTGATCAACAGGTTGTAGTGGAATTCAAACCAAGTTTATGTAGATCACTTCTCACTTGAACTTCGAAATCCGACTTAAAGTGAGGTTTTGATGCCTCTCTGAACCTCATTACTCTTCTAACTGTTTCGTGAATAACGAAGTCCGTCATTCACATTCTTTACAGTAGTTTCCGGTTTTAATCGATCCTAATATTAATAGATTAATATTAGACTAAAAAGTTTAATCAACTATAGTATTTTAGGGCCAGAGTTAACCCCTTTTTATTATTGGGATTTAATTAGTAATCAACCGTTGTGACCTATTCGGTAACAAACTAAGTCGGTAACTCATGACTAACTCAGATCTGATTCACATTCTTGAACTGTAGTCACCTACATGTAGTGTATGGGTTTTACGAGTTAAATTGTTCTAGAGCACCGTATATCTTTACAGAACAATTAGAACAACCACCGTGATTTTCATTCCTGAAATTCATATTACTACATAATATATTGTTTATTTTCAGATGAATATAATCATTGGTGCAGTTGTATTGGTGCTCATAATAGCACTAGGATGTAAGTATTTGTTGGTAATATGTAAATTTCTTTTATTGCATGTTTCATCCGTTGTTGTATTTCATATTCTGTGTATGGTTCATATACTGCGCTGTGATCGATCAAATCGACATTTGCTAAAATGTGTTTACGTCAACTATAATTCCACTTTAAACGAAGTGCTTGCATTGAACAAATGAATTTGCTTCCGTTTTACCTATAAAAATGCTATTTTATTTATAGATTTTCTACATTTTTAGACTGAAAGGTCTAACTAGCGTGTGTTTATACTCAAAAGACTTTATTTAACTATTGAAGAGATAGTATTTTATACAATTCCTGGGTTCACAGGTGTCTGTTTGTAAACTTTTTATTATTCATCGCTGTGCAATTTCGGAGTTTTAAAGTTTTTAACGTGTATATTTTGTTATTTCTTGCATTTGTTGTCAATTAGAATGTTGTGGCACTTGATGTCGTTGATGTTGTGTCCTTATTTTAAAATGTGAGTGTTATTTGGTGAGTTATATGTCCTCATAAGTTTCATATGCTTCAATTCTTGTAGATACATAAATAAGGTGCATTACAATCAGTCCCTTTATTGTAAATTTTTTGTTCACAGTGATTCATGTTTTTTTGTGCATACTCTGTTAAACCGAATTTATTGCTGACATAAACATTCAGCCAATCACAAAGTTGGACCTGGCACATATATACACCATTTCAAGTTTCCACACCCAATTAAGACACTGAGAAGAAGTTGTCAGGGTAAATCGCAGAGCAGTAGAATTAGTAACAGTATTAGTGGTAATAGGAAAGATTAGGCATAAAACATATAATTCGAAAAAATATAATGTAGTGAAGTAAAGAATGAGAAAATAAATTTATGGGGAATTCAGAAACTTAGATAGGATCTAAGCTAAGACAAATTGTAAATGCACCTGTGCCACTGCGAACGATTCTGATCTGTCACCCAAAATCTTACGACTGGCTGAGATAACCACGCGGACACCAACCAGGTAGTCTCCACCTGACTACATGGCTCAGTCTAACGATCAGTGTCTTCACCGACTATCAACTCAATAACCGCCTGTTCGCAGCGAAAACTTGGAAAAAGTCTCATTTTTTGCTGAATGAAATCAACAGGATCCACAGAATAACACCTATCAGCTGTAAAAAAGTAAATAAAAATTCCTTGCTTTAGTATTCGTTTGTGCTGTCTATTTCGTCACTATGGTCCTTCTTCAGACATTGACATATAATTTCCAATTAAAAGTGGTCGAGATTCTTTGGTGTTTGGCACAAAGGGAGTTATTTTAACTGGATATTTCTAAGTAATACGTGGTATTTTCTATGATCCAGTAAATATGTGTGTCTTCACACAAAGGTTAATTTCTAAGACAAGTATTATAGATAAGGTCAGTCAAAAAAGCATTCTTGCCTCACTCTCTGTATCTCGTTCATCCTTTATTACGTACTATATTATGATGATAAATTTATTGAGCCTCATTGATCTCGTCAGTAATTCTGTCTTGATATCCATTCTTTGGTATATGTCATTTTTCTTAACTAGTTTAGAACAGTCGGACCGGAAGTTGTTTTTCTAGAAAGCCTAGTTAAAGTTCAGTAACTTTTTATCAGGTTGATAAAATTGTGGCTGGCTGTTTATTATCTGAAAACCATCAATTGCAGCATTTGACTATCCAAGGTATTTTTAGTCAAAGTTAACTCATTTAAACAACAGTTAAATATGCCCATAACCTAGAAAGGCAACTCACAATTCAGTATCATCTTCAGAAGTTTATACATTTTACTCTTTAACTTCTAGTATAGGGTTCTTAAATTATCTTCTGTACATTTAACTAAAAGATTTCTAGTAATCTTTTAAGATTGTCACACCCTTTTCCCGGTTTTCACGATTATTTTTTGTCAATTCATTTTATACAGGGTATATATTTGGCGGGAAGTAAGTTGTTTTCGCTTACCTATTTGACTGTGATAATGGATTTTTTGTTAAGTGCTTATCATAGTGTTTCGTATGTTTATTATCATGATTTTGACTAATCGGTCGGCTCTTTTGATTACTTGGGGTAATATCTTATATGATTGTTTTGTTCTGTCATTGATTGCATATTAGTAAGAACATAAGATTCCTGTTTCTCTATGCGCAATAACAGATAATCATTATTTTGCCCAAACCTGTTCCACATATGTCTCCCACTTCTCATTTTTACATACTTTATCTAGCTGATATTCAGTTTTTATCATGTCACTTAACCAATAATAAGCATTTGAGGATTGCTTTACATTTTAAGGCGCACATTGTTAAACTGTTTATTTATTATTGGATAATGAAAATTTGTTTGAGATTTATGTTTAGTAAGTTTTTTATACAATTGGGGTGAAAGTATGCGATACTGACGAACTTAAATGACTTATCAGCCGATCAAGAAACTACCTAATTACTAAACAATTAACAGCAAAAGAAACTAAAATACAGTAGTAAAGTAGTCTTGATCTAAATAATCAGCCTTTACGTGTCGAATTATTGGTTGTAGTAAAAAGAAAACGTTATGTTCACATATTAGTGTTGTGAGCTGGGGTTACCGTCCTATAAAGTTCTCGTCACCATCTGTGATGCAACATGGTCAGAGTTAAGCTAAGGTTCTGATTTGGGTTTCCAAATAAGATTTATGGTTCTCATCAACCGACATCAGGTATGGCGCAATGTTTTGTATCCCTTCTGTTTACAAGCTTACAATTTAGAGTGAGGGAATATTATTTAATTTCACTAAAAACTGAACTACGCACTTAATCACATCAAGTATTTTAACACACAATCTGCATTAGGAGCGGACATGTTTTGCAATTTAGCTTAAGCACCACCCAAAATTTTTGGTTGGATAATAGGTATTTTAACTGATTTCAAGAATCTTAAGAACCAAATATTACTTATTTTTTATCCGTTAATAGTAACATACACTTTAAATTTCTACCGAAATACATAAAACGTTATCTTAACTCGAGCCGCCAGTATACTATACCTTCACCCCGTAAGGTAGTTATATGGATTTTTGTTCATAAAGTCATTTTTGACTTTCACATGGTTGATATAAAAAGTATGAATCAGTGTGCAAAGTTTAGATATTTTCAATTTATTATGAGTTGTTTGAACGGCGTATGCTCTCCGTATTATTGAGCAACACATGGTGTAAACATCTCTTATAAACTCATCTATCACTTTATGTGAGAATTAATTTAACTCACCAGTCACATGTGATAATGCTATCCGGTCGCCCAAAGAAAAGTAAATGAGGCGGAGGTTCAAACCCGGGACTTGGTGGCTGAAAGTTGAACGTTTTAACCATTAATTCACACCAACAACTTGTTCTTGTGTGATAATGTATTTTAATTCGAGTGTATATCAATATATTTTAGAATTGTCGATTGATTCTAGGTTCCCGAAATTTGCATTGTTCTTCCGATTGATAATATCTACGTTTTGTTTTATGGATTACGACAAGCTTATGTTCCTTCGCTGATGCATTGATTTTACACAAATACAAAGTACAATGATATTGATTTAGAGCTAGGGGATAAGTAATTGCGGTTCTGAAGTCTCACCTCACTCATGGTAACCTAATACATATGCTAGTATAAATGGATGGTAATTAAACACTCAATAAAACGGTTACCTTGTTCATTTCACAGGAAAGCTATCAACTTTCTTATATATGTATAAAATGAAAGTGGCGTTGTTTAGTATCATGAATTACCCATTAATGGGGTCTATACGAAAAGCTATGCTATATTGTCTATTTCCTTATATTGATTAGGGTTTGTCAGCAGTGTAATCTATCGGAGTGAATTTTCACTTTTCATAATGATTCTCAAAATTGTATGAATCATTCTGTGACAATCAACTTAGAGTGGCAGAAAAGTATTTTGGCACAAGCTCCTATATCACATCAGCACGATTCTGTGAAATTAGCAAAGCAGCTGAAGAGTCTAAATAATATTAATATAATATAGACATTGAGAATATGGTTAAAAAGAAAGTACCTTTGAGGGATTATCTAACTTGACTATGAGTATCCAATTAAAGGAGTTTTCACGAGGTTTATTTGCCTTTCTGGTATATGCCATTCAATGGCGAACACTGGCACTAAACCCTTGGATTGGAAAGGTCAGACACTGCTCTTTAGTCGGAATATGAATCAGTTGGGTACCAATATGTCTAAATCTATTTTAAAGCCTTGTTGAGACCAAATTTTTGGTCAATACATTTACGTCGAGGTTGGAAACATGTGTTATTGTAGGAACTGATATTTTAAGCTTTATTAGTTAAACAGATTTATCTAAACTTGCGACATGATCCCAATCTTTTATTATAGGCTAGGACAATCACTGATAAAGACCAGTCAGATATGACTAGATTCCATTCTTAGACTCTCTAGTGTGTCGCAGCCAACCTAATTGATGAAACTGATCCTTTATTCTTAAAAATATCTGGTGTTAACCTAAGAGATTACTCTGCGCTACTCCGTTTAAATTTAGATATGATCTTTCTGAATTTCGCAAATATTTGGGCGACTTTTGTTAGATTGTTTGAAAGTAATGGGTAACTTGGGAAAGAATGAAAGTCTGTTAAAATATCTCTTAAAGTTCCCTGTCCATAATTACAATTCGCTGAGCAGTGAATTGCCGTTGTCTTTTTCTGAAATAGTCTCACCGACGGCTGATATTATAGTACCTAATGTTACCCATTGCTGTTGCATCCTCAATCTGATTTGCTTTTTTGTCAACAATTGTCCGTGATCGTTGTCAGTTTACTTTCAAGTCGTTTTTCATCAGTTCAGTAAAAGCTTATGAAATCTGTTTTTTCCCTAACTTTTGATGTAAAGTAGTAGTATCAGCGCTGTATTTTATCCAGTAAAACGCATCAAAATGCACACCCTATGAGAAGCGGTCGTCTTCTGTCACACACATAAATGGTAGCTGGTAACGAGGCAGTCTATTTTTGTCTATCTTGGGGGTCACCTGGTTGCATAGTGTCTCTCTTTATGATGGTTGGTACTTGCTAAGAATAAATGATTATCTAATCCATAGTTACTGACCAGAAATAGCATTTTCTTCACATTAGTGACATACATGAAACTCAAAGCTAGATGAGGACGGGCGATACCGGGAACAGAAAAAAGATGAGGCAGTAAATAAGAGATTTGGGTATAAACAAAATGAGTTTGAAGTATGAGGGCAATTATCATTTCTCAGACGCACATACTGTAGAAGATTGTCTTTTGACACCTAAGAAGACTGGATTAGTAGGATCACCGCCATATAGCAATCTGTACTGCAAGCACTTAAAACTGAAAGTACACTATAATGAGTATTTAGATCACTTGATTCACGTAGACTAAATTATGTCTCACGTTAATTTAATGACTGTTCAGAAACTTGTTCCTATTGAAACGTTCTAACGTATCCAAAGTAAATAGTGGCATTACGAAAACTGTTACCCGATACATCCTGTAGCATGTAAGGTTGCTGGGCCATAGTTTACAACATAGTTCCAGTCAGATAGTTGGTTAGTAACGCGAGAACATTCTTGGTCTCATTAAAAGGTGTACTAGACGCGTCCACTACCTTGCTGAAGGTTTTTTGGTTAAGTAACCATTGCTAAATCACGGCTTATGAGGTGTCATCCAGAAGTTTTACGTCAAATAATGTATGTTAGGGTTTAACAGTCGGTCATATGCAACGTAGATTCTGACATGTACATCGGTTCATGCTGCCATATCACGTTAGCACAGCGACATAAAGTTGTCAAGATAATTCCCAGAGTAGTAATGGTAGAAAATAACAAGTATAGAGAAAGATGTAAAGAAATTTCGGGACTCACGTCTTGGAGTGAATGCACCTCCGCCATTGCAAACGATTGTGAACCATGTCACCCAAGTTTTCAAGTCATTGGGATCTGCCAATTCCATCTAATTTTTTTCATATCTTAGAGGCATTGGTTTTTTCGTAACCTCTTAGCTATGACCCCATATTGAAAAACTTATCAATCCGAGATACACAAAACAATTCCATCTGGCAAAAATTCACCCAAACGAGGACTTACTCTAGTTGTTCTTCAGAAATAACTAGTTTGGGATTGAAAGTCAAAGTAATTGTATATGTTGATCGCCTCGTTTATCTCACTAGTGATATATTTGCCTAAATAAGTACTATAGAACCCTTTCACTCTGAATATCAACTCCCTTAACAGTATGTTCTAAGGAAATATACTTCATGTATTTTTTTGTTTAATTTCCAGGACTATGCTTACTTTGGAAGTCATCCAAATTATCAGTTCATTGATATGTAGCCTATAATTTTTGCCGATTATATTCATTCTAAGTGGGTTAATGACACGTACAGATGAGTGAGTTCTTGAGATGTATACCACACTAAGTGTATGAAAGGTGATCTCACTAGTATAAAGTTGTGACTTGTCGAGTCTGAAATGTTGAGTATGGAAAAATGTTTATAACCGGTTGATAAATTATTATAATTTTTCGTTTTTCTACTGGATTCTTTCTACCACGAGTCTATTTTACACAATGTTTTTCTTCCATAGGAAACAAGAAGCAGCTCCTGCACCAACAGCTTTACCTCCTCCAGTACAACACGCCGCACCAAGTTCTCAGAGTCAGAAGCAGCCGTTGAAGCATGAAGCTTCTCACAGGCGTCGTCGGGAAGCTTCAATGTTCGGCACTACTCCCCAATAACAAAACAGAAACTATTAGCATTCATAGAAGTGGAAAGTTATTCCAATCAATAGGACTACTCTATCTTTTATTTTCACGTGCTAACGCGCGAAATCTGCATCTGGAAACCTAATCACTAAGTTATCCTACTATGCATTATGTCGATGACCTCCTATCTTCGTCTAACTTGTTTCATTTACAAAAGATATCACCATTTTGGTGTTTTGTATGTGATTTCCTTCCTCATGTTAAACTTTTTGTCAGTATCATTTGTCTCACGTCAGTTCAATTAATTTTTGCCATTAGGGATTGTAAAGCATTTCACTGTTGTTTAACTCCGGAGTTAAAACTATAAATTTCCGTATGATTTGCATTAATTACGTTTACTTATGTTATCATAAATCATGAAAGCTTATGTTTAACTTCCTCTCGTATTACTCTTTTTCAAATCGACATTTGGATAAATACACATAATCATAGTTATATATATATATATATATTTATGAACTGGAGTGTGCTACAGTTATAAAAGGGGGCATTTACAACTCGCACAGTTCTTGTATTCGTTCTTTCGTCATGAAAGCGCGACCCACACCAGTTTTCCGATATTCACTACGCATACTTAAGTATTCCTCTTCAAATTTTTTTAGTTCATCTAGGTCTAGAAGGTACCTAAAGAAAAAAGAAGTGCATTCAAATGACTCATTGTGCAAATATTAAGATGGCTCCCGATATAAGTGGTTAGACTCAACTTTATTTGTTTTCGTTTAAGTGATAATGTATATTTAGATAAAACTATCTTACCTCATCTGACACTGTTCAAATATCTGATATTTGGGTTTGCATTTCCAGGTACCGAACCACTCGCCTCGTCTTCCTCGTATGCACTTTCGCCAATCTTTCCACTCTTCTACACATAATTCACTAATAAGTTTCTCCTGTACAAATTTTGAAATTACGTTGCTGCGTTCAGTACTCGAAATATACTTGCTGTTGGGGTCACCTGATTAGACATATAAAACAACAGGCAAGTTACCAAACCCAACTGGGCCTCCAGAATAAGAAGCATAGCCTTGCATTTTATTTCTCTTAGATTTTCACGATTAACTGTGTGTATTGTTAAGCTGAAACGAGGATAAAACAGTGACATAGTATTTCCGGAACTTATTATAAAAGCAAGTACTAGAAAGAGGCTATAATGTCTCCCTATCTAGTATTTTTTGCGGGGATCACGGATCACCACGAGTTTCGAACTGTTCAACAGTATAAACATTTAACTTTTGTCTCCGTCTTCTCTTCATACGTTAGGTGTGGCTTAGAAAGCCGTATAGTTTTTGGGTTTGTTAGTGGGAATATTAATATGACATGACACAAGTATGTTACTCCACGGAATGTCAGTCATGACTCCTGAGATAGGCTACTTGGTGAGATTTTTGGGTTGCAGTTAATTATACTCTTAAGTATTTCGACACACCAGCTAGATATTGCATTCATCCGATTATAGATCGTTTTAAAAATATTACTAATTTGTCTTTTTACGAGGATAAATTATGAACTAATTTGGTGACTGCGTTAGGTTTATTTGTAACTGATGAAGTAACTCTGGTCAACCAGCTTGTATGATTTGCCAAGTCTAACCACATAATTGTTTGAAAATGTTTTGTTGAAGTACGCGTGCAGATGCCTTACTATGATTAACATCTGAGGTAACTTCCGGAGAAATTAGTTAGATAATGTTCCATAGTTTGTACGAATACCTGACCAAAACAATGGCAGGAGGCGGTAATATAGAAAAACGGTCCATACAACCTTCCAGAGGTTTACACTGACAATCAAACCGCTCCGAAACCCTCATACGGTTGGAAACTAAGGGATCTAGTATAAGAAGTCGTTACACCTTACCTGACAGCTTCACATAGTGTTAAATTTGCCTATCAATTAAAATCAAACATGAAGGATACCCTAGTTTGTTCTATGTGGTAGGCTGATACTATTCTGCCGTCCATGCTTCCAAAGCTTGGATTAATTGCCAATGAACACAGTCAGTTAAACGTGTATCTAGTGTATACTTTTCACTCATATTACTTGAGAAACATGCCAGTGGAAGTAACTGAAAATGACAGATCGAAAGACGGATAAGCGCTTTCTCGAATATTTTGGAAGAAAAGATAGTGTTCCAAACAATCATATGAATTGAGCATCCCACAAAGTTTATTGCAGTAACTACGTATACGTCAGATGAAAACTAAAGTATGAGAAAAGAAACAGCGAATTTGGCCTAAAACACTACTCAAACTTTAGTGGAATCGGAAATGTATGGACTAGATTTTAAGGATTAGAAATACACATACCCAATCAAACAATATATATATCGCCTTTATAAAGGCGAACAAAGGGGATCCTAGGAATACAGATCTTCATGTGCACGTTTTAACAATGTGAGAGATTTTTACTATTAAGCATATCACTTAGTATCAGGTAGCTCACTTCATGATGTTTATTGGTACAAAATATTCACCCATAGAGAGTAGGATAACTTTCTACACTGACTCCGCCAAATCAAACCTACCTCCTTGTCCCAACGGCCTTGACTAATGGCAGAAAAAATACATTAGAAAAAATGCAACTCATGTGTAACTTTACGGTGAAAATTTCAAGTTACGTTTATCAGAGTACACTGATCTCATGCTTTTGTTACCTCTAATTGTTATTGATTGTTTTGATCAGTAATAAATGGCACATTCCATGAGTTTACTGAATTGTAATCTCACTTTGTATTTCGATAGTCCCCCCTCTTGATTCTCTCACAATCTGTGCCTCATACTTCTTCAGCACCTGAGGTATCTTCAGGTTAGATCTTTATCTGTCATAAATGAACGTCACAGACATTATGAATCTGCTTTCTGTGCACAATACGCGTGTTTCGTGATCATTTTATTGGGTGAACAATGCATATAAAGCATACTTTTAACTGAGGATTACCATCGTAGCTCTATGTTTCCATTGTTTACTTTATTCGTCTACGACGTTTGCGAAGCACATAGAAACCTGAAACGAAATCAATTGCGGAAATTATGACATTTTATTCGGCGTTCATCCAATTGGTGAATTTGAGTATACTCTGAGATGTCAGATGTTGAGCTTTTATTGGATACTGAAGATGGATGGATTCCCTCACACTGTATATATAGTATGAGATTTGACCATATGACTGGAATCGCACTGTGAGTAAGCCTCCCTCTAGGGAGCAATTTTCTACAGGTGTAACTCTAAGCTATTCTCTAGGCGGTCGAGCACATAGTCTTGGTTTAGCCAAAGTCAAAAAAAGGAAGCTATTTGACTTGATAAACTTTGCCTGTTTCTGAAGCATAAATTATCACCGTTAGTATACAAGATAAACAATGCAGTCTATCAACACAGGCGAACACAAAGACATAAATAACATAACGAATAGTAGCTAGAGGATAGGAAAAATGAGACAACAAGGCAAATACTGTCTTATGATGAACCTAAAATTGTGATTGGTGAATAAACAAGACATAGTCATACAAGGTCGAAAAACGTTAATGTGGTGGTGGGCGTTTCACTTTATCAGTGGTGAGTTCGTTTATCGATCACACTTTGCATCTCGATGAGGTGAAAGTATGTGAAGTTCCGACTTATCCTGAAGGCTCGATGAATGCTGAGAGATAGTACGAAGAAATACCAAATGGATAACAGCGAAAGTCATAGTTAACCGATGAATCATTTTGATGTTTTCTTCATCCCCGTTGCAGCTAATCTAAATAAATGTGAATTTCACGATAACACACTCAACACCTAACCTTGCAAGTAACTAAAAATTTGCCGCCCCGTGACCATAACACTTAACAATGTTTCACTGTCATATAGCCTCCATAGTTCGAATTTTACATTACCCAGTTTTTACACTACGTCTTGTAATTGTTCTTTTTTTGTAACATACTTCGTACATTCCTCTCATAACTATTTAATAGACAGTTGACTTTTGAGTTTTATTCTGACCCCACAACATTTTGCACACATTAGGCACTCAGTTTGCTCCAAAACCCGACTCAATAAAACTTAATATGGTCATGAATTACTCGGGTGGGAAATCTGGAACACTGAGGAACTGTTCGTAAGAAACATCATCATCCATACTTTAATGTGAGTCCCTCCTTATTTGTTTCCCATCGGTTTTCGTTTTTTACCATGTATGTTGTTATCCAAACACTGCTTTTCAAATCCTTACTCACTACGTTAAAAATATCCCATTCAATCACTATTTCACCAGCTAGTTTATTCCCGTTAACTTACTTTGCTTGGAAACTATTACTTTATCGTGCCCTACTTTTCGGGATGTCCCGATTTTCCACATATGTTCTGCCAAACTAACTGTCCAAAAAGCTTGTACATAACACTTTTAAAAAGTGTTTTCTATCAAGGTGTGGAACACGATTGAAATGTAGCAAATAATTGCAATCTAATAATTATTTCTAAATTAGTCCAGTATAAAGAAGAAATGGAGGATAGAGTTACTAACCAGCAAGCATCAGCGATTCCAATCCACCCAAGTTCGTAGAGCAGGACATTTCATTCGTCTACAGGTCTTTACAATTGGTGACAATACAACTATTCAATTAGTCTTGAGCCTGCTATGTCAGATATATATACCATTATTACTAACATAATAAAAGTTTCGTTAGTAAAGGGAACAAGCAAAAATCATTAACAACTACCAATATTGTAACATTTTGATTATCTCAATCAAAACTTAGTTTTATAAGTTTTCAGATGCATCGTGTATACTTGAATTTGAAACTCCCACCAACACTCCATAAGAATCATGGGATGAAGTAACGGAGGAAGATTAGCTAAGATACATCTTTGTGATAAACTAACCCGGCAGAACAATAAAACATGAATTTCAGCGAAGGGACCTCTTTTCAACGAATTTATTATCAAGCTGTACAATCATATATAAGTATTAAAATCTTTTGTTAAGGTACTAATTCCGCGAAGAAATGTGAACACAAATAATCAAGATGACGCAATAGTAAGATTACAATACTAGATTACGTTATGCGAATAATCACAAGAGATTTAATAAATGTAATAAGATCATTAAAAGGATTATATGATGGTTAGGAGTATTCGAATCATAGTACGAACTAAGAATGTCAGAAATGATGTAATCGAATCAAGAAGTACTAGATAAGCACGAACGAATGTATTGTATTTGGAATTCGAAATCAAGCATTCAACAAGTACAAAAGAATCATTAGTTTATTCAAACATCACAGATTAATAATCATTTTTGTTGCAATAATTACAGATCATAGAGGTGTAAAAATGAATAAGGTGGTACGATGAGCATTTATGATATATAAGACACAAGTAAAGGGGAATACAGTGATAATAATAATGTTAATTAAGACAATAGTAGCGATAACGGTAGGACGCACTTCTTTTGTATGCGCAGTTCTGGTTTGAGCCCATGGATGGTAAGACCATCAGCTCTGTTAAGGAGTTGGATACGAAGAAATCTGGGTAGATTGAAACGACTTATACGCACAACCTTAAAATTAAACTGTGGATCCGTAGAATGATTACAGTTGATTAAGTATTTAAGTATAGAACCCCTAACTGATCTTCTCTCACCCCAGTAGAACCAAACTAGGACGTGTGTCCCGTATCCGAGTTGAAAGCGGGCGCTGACTATGGCCTTTATTGTGATAAAACATTTTTTAATCACTTTATTCGTCTTATCACATTCTCTAGATCTATTGTTATTGTTCGTATTACGTAATCTAGTAGTGTAATCTTTCTATTGCACATCTAGGTTATACGTGTTCACATTTCTTTAAGGAGTTAGTACTTCAACAAGACATTATCACCTATATAAGACTGGATAGATTAATAATAAATTCGTTGAAAAAAGCTTCCTTCGCTGAACTTCGTGTTTTTTTTAATATTTTTAATGTTTAAATGCGAACAATAGAAGACAAACAGCGAGTGAAATTATTTTTTTTCATCAACGACTTTGCGAGGATGAAATTATGAAGAGTATTTCATGTTGGACTTTCTATGGTAGGCTTTATTTTTATAATCGGAATAAAAATTTTTGTGCAGTCCCGTTTGGACAGAGTGTAAACTCTGTAAAACGCTATCATTGTTGGTTTTTTTCCTCGTACCTAAAAAGATTTCTGTGATTCGTTAATTGTTTTTTATCTTTGTCTTAAAATGGGTGAGTGCTAAAAATTTTCAGCCTAAGACAAGTTCCAAACTTTTTTCGGTCAATCTGAAGATTTCCTTTAGGAAGCAGTGGTAGGAGTTTATCTCATATTTTTACTCAGCTCCTCTCACTATCGTCTCACAAAAGTTCTTCAGGTATTCGGTATCAGTGCATACTTTAAACGATTTCTGCCAAGTATAAGCCTTATAAATGCAAATGACTTGTTTTCATTATGTCTTTACATGTTGAAGTCACTAAAACGGCTATAAACATATTGAACATTTTCACCATGTAAATCTACTTAATACCTACTTGATAAATGTCCACGTACCATCTACTGAGAGTTTTTACTGATTTAATGATGTAGTCTCTTTACTAACACTAGTGGGACAATATCTCATTTATATACCATAGTTCGATTAAATTACTCTTGCCTGTAAAACTGTCCTGAGAATTTTTCGAAATGATTTTGCGCACCGAAAATGAGAAATTAGAAAAACTACGGTGTGAGCACACTTCATTGTGAGCTGAGTAGTAGGTTACAGTCGATCAGTCTGCATTAGTCACTCCATGGTGCTCGGTAAAATCTTCTTTGTCAACTAACCAATTGTCTAATGAAGAAACGGTTTAGCTTGACGGATAATCTTCCAAAGTACATTGATGTTTCACTTATAAACGTTAATTTACTTCTAGGCTATATAGAATAATCTGTGCTATCTGGAGGTAGTGTGTGTTTAGTTGAAGCATAATAAGAACAGAAGAAATCAAGTGAAGCGGTTCCGATTATCTGGAGTTAGCAACAATAAGTTATTATAAATAGTTATCACGTTAGAGGAACTGGTCCCAGGAAAACTTTACTTGTAGGTAATTCTTCTTAATATTTGTATCTTCCTCTACTTCATCTAATATTTTTTCCTGTTAATGATTATTAAACGGTTTTCCATGATCATATTAATTTTAATGGCGCAAATAGATTCTGAAAGTTGATAATTATTAACTAATCACTCAGTTTTTTACATGATGACCTTGTCCTTTCTTATGCCTTTCCTCACTCATTAAATCTCTGAATCAACAACCACCATGATAATGTGATAACTGTGAACAAATAACACAATACGGACGTAGAATAAGTAGACAAAAAGAGTGATAATGAATGCATTATTCACGAGGAGAAACAAAAAATGTAACTAAATGAAGTGCGTATATGTACAAACATACAGTTAAACCATTGTATAAACTATTAAGCTAAGAAAATATGATTCCAACTGCTCCTTATATTTTCTGTTTATCAAATAATACAGATCTTACTGACGCTCTCTGTCCTCTTATTATTGTTACAGATAGT